TGGTAGGGCCTACAGTACAATCAGTGTAAAAGTGTAAGATAGGCCTAGTGTGATTTAAACAATGTCCTAATGGTAATGTTCAAAACAGTGTCAATGAAATTGCCACCTGCTCCAGCGGTGGCACCAGAAACTTGCCGATAAAGGGTCGTACGTGTCCGACGGAGGGGTCGGAACCAAGGCGACGATGAAGCCTTGGTCAACGGCCTGGAATAAAAAAAAAAGTGGCGCCAATACTGACCTGCTCCATAGTTAAATGCAAAATGCTTGGTTAGGCTATACCATGGTAAAACTAATTTGTATTCCAATGAAAACTGCACCCAAGGAACTATTAAATGGTAAATAGCTGTGAGTTGCCTATAACATGGCTGATGATGTTGTCATGTCCATGATGAATGTGATGATACGACATTATGTGTATATATCTATCTTATTCTGGTACTGTACTGTGCATAGTGTCTATTTTTTTAGTATACTCATACAATGCTAAATACTATGCATCACTACTCGCATTTCTCTTTCCCTTATCTTTTTAAAATAAATCAATGGCTTAAGTCACTTACAGTAAGTTTTTTTTTAATTTTTCTTTATTTTCTAATTCCTTTTTCCTCAGGGGCGGATCCAGAGATGTCCAAAAGGGGGCGCTAAAGGGGTGGGGGGCTGAAAGTTGGCCGATTGAGACAACACTGTCCTGGGGATTCCGGGGGCATGCCCCCGCGATGTTTTTGTGTTCTAGATGCCCGAAAATAACATTTGAGGCGTTCTGGGCTATCATTTTTTTCTTTTTCTTTCTTTTCTTCTTTTTTTTTTACCTCCCAAAAGGGGATGTGATATGACAAGTATGAGTGTTATATGACGTCTTCAGGCCAGTGGCGGCTGTAGAATATATTTTCTGGTGATGGTGAGGGGGCTAAACTGTCTGACTGATGTGGCAAGGGCTGAGTGAGATAAGGATAAATTAGGCACACATCGGTGTCCAAGGGCTTTCTAACTGAGTCGGTCCCTAATGACATTTTTTTTTTATATGCACCTCTGGATGGCCGGAAATGGCACCCTCTCTCTCTCTCATGACTTGAAAAATACTTTAATGTAAAGTTGATAAAATACAATTGTTAATATATACTCTGTACTCTCAAAGTCAACTCAATAAACACGCAACATGCATTTCATTTCATTTAGGTTTATTTATTTATTTTTTTTTTTCGGTCTCACTGCCCGATGAGCTCTGCCCCCCGGGGGGGGGGGCTTGATCTGTCCAATGGCGGGCCTAAGCCTGCTTCCCCACCACTCTCCACGTGCTGGCATCGCCATGGCTTCATGCCTATATATGATTAATGGATCTTCTGCTAAGCCCAACCCTGTTCTGACAGGTCAATTGTTAAGTTTGACACTCTGGAACATTCCATTATTTACCTGGTAGCACATCATTAAACATGATAGTGTAGAAAGCTTGACTGGAAAGTGGGGGAGCGCACTATTATTGGAATAAAATGACTTTTTAATAAGCAAGCTTTTTAGCGAGGGCAGCAAACTTTTTTTTGGTCAAAATCCCCCACTATGAATATGGCTATCTCCCCCCCCACCCCCTTAGATATGTCATTGGTATCACACAGTAGATTTGTATCTAAGGCCCTGTGTATATATAAACACACAACCAGTCAGTCATATTCCAAGAACAGAAATTTTCATAACAAAGAATTCTTTTTTGTTCGTGGTCATGTGTTGTTTAATAGGAAGGTATAATAGCAATACATTGTTCTGCTAACCACTTACATTACTGTTTTGTATCCTAGTTTTTAGCACAATGAAGTTGAATTGAATGGAGACACAGAATGACAATAAAAATGTATTATCATCAGTCGTTATAGAAACCAAATATACAAATATATTGTTTTTAGAGGAAATAGTGAACAGTACAACAGATAGCAAAATTTTATTCTTAGACACTGCATTAAATTTGGAGAGTTTGATACTGAATTTTTAAAATATACAAATACAAAGGAAACAAAATTGCAAGAACTTGATACCAAAGGCTATAGGAGCTTTCTTAAGAGTTACGAACCAAAGGTAAATAACAATTCATGATAATCAAGTAGCACAAAGAGCATTATACGAAAAATATATCTATGCAAGGAGAAACTTTTGTTACTGGTAAGAATAGGCAGCACTTCTACGTCATTTACCGTAGTAGCGTCACTGTAGCATTTTTGTCAATATTTATAAAGCATTTTATTGACTATCGCTAATATTCTGATTTTGAACATTACGATGTTTGTTATCGACAGGTTCACAAAGCCAATCAGCCCACACACTATATATAAAGCGTAAAAGAATTGGGTGTACATTCATTCATAGAGTATATCGCAAATTTCCATTTGCCCAGTTTGTGCCAAATTCTAGAACCAACAACTACTCTCACAGATATGCTTATTAAAAATATCATTATTCCATTCTGAGGTTTATCATATACAGTGCTGCATATTATTTCTAAGCGATGCGCCGCTCAGCAAAATTTTTGGTGCCATGGCCTGCTTGTTTTTAACATGTTAGTTCAGTTAATACTTATTCATTTGTGAAAGATACAGGGCTTCATAGAATAACATCATTTTGATAGAGTGTTAGTTATAAAAGATTATATTATTTATTACATTTTATAATTCTTATCAATAAGCTAGCTTGATGCACTGGACCTAATTTAGTCGTATGACTTTATTTTTGTGCATTTCATTATTTCTTTTTAGAACAATATGGAATACATTTGGCTGTTTTTCTGCACATTTATTTGCGTAGATCTTAATCTAGTCTCCAGTACGTCAACGTTTACAACTGTAGAAGCCACACCAACGTTAACAGTCAGCACAATGCCCTCCAGTATGGTCACAACTATTGCAGCCACCTCATCACCATCACCAACAGTCTGCAGTACGCTTACAACTATTGTAGCCACACCATCCCCAACAGTAGCAGATGGAACAATACTCTCCAGCAGGCTTACTACAACACCACCTATGATAGCAAACAGCACAACAGATTCAAATACAACAGATGAAGACACCACACCACCACCATATTGGGTTATCGTTTTAGTTATAGTTATAGTTTTGATTGCGGTTTGTGTGTTAGGCCTCGTGTACTTGTACAAAAAAAAACAGAACAAAATTGGCACTGATACTGACAGAGGCTTATTAAGCACTTCAACATAGAATCTTAATACCATGTACAAAAAGACTTTTTAGCACATAAGATATGTTTAAGTCACAGTAGGAGACCAGTGGCACATCACCTAAAATCACCATACACCATATTTCGCGAATTAGCGCCCCTGATCATCAAGTCCCCCCCACTTCACCTTCGCGCCCTCCCATCAGTCCCCCATTTCAATACTTCTAGATACGCCACCGTTGGAGACACCACACCATCACATGAAAATAACAATGGATCCAATGGATGATGCTATTGTAACCTTTGAACTTTCAAGGACTCTATTATGGGATGTTCCCGCGGAGTCTCGCTCTCTCGTGGGGGTTCGCCGACTAGCCAAGCTGTGTCTTGTTGGAGGCTCACACTTTGTATAGAATAAAACCGTTAACATCCAGCTTACTTGGTGTCTGGCTCATTCATTGAAGTCCGAACTCATCTAGTAACATCCATAGAGAGTTACACTATCACAGGCATTTCTGTTTCAGTTGTATTTTCTTGCGGCAGTGTACAATTGTCATTATTATATAAATTATTTAAATCCTATTGATTAGTAAATTTTATAAATATTTTTTTAAATATGTATTGAATTATATTATTAATATTATTATTATTAATATTATTATTATTATTATTATTATTTATTATTATTATTATTGTCATTATTATTATTATTATTATTATTATTATTATTATTACTATTTATAATAATGCTATCTTGAATATTATTTTTGTCTGGTTGTATAGTTGTATAGGCCTAGGTTTAAATTATTGTGTATTATATATATTTTATTGAAATTTTAAAGAGGGCCCCTAAATATCAACTGGCCTTTGATTTAGCTGGAAGGGTTACCCTCTATAAAAAGTTGAAAAAATAAAAAAATAAAAAAATAAATTGTGATTGTTATTGTAGAATGTTATAAAAGTTAAGAAAAATGAACCTTAAATACTATACTTACATACTATGTATACAAAAGAATTTTATCCCAGAATGTGTTCGATATGTTAAATATCTGGTGGTGAGAAGTATTTGTTTGCGACATTACTTTAATTTAACTTAGGGGAATTGGATGAACATTTTGCAACAGGAAGGTTTGCCTTTATCATCAAAACCATCATGGATTTGACCAACACTATCGTTATCCTCATCATCACCAGCAGCAGCAGTATCATTGTGTCCCATATCATAATTATTTCATTAAAAAAAAACTAGTATTATAAAAGAGAACTTAGAGGATGACCAAGCAAGAAGAAAGGTTTGCTAAGCAAGTTTTTAGCAAAGGCACCCCGGGGGAGCAAACTTTTCTCTTGAAAATCCCCTACTCCATCCCCCTCCCTTAGATACATATTGTAATCAGCAGCAGCAGTATCATTGTGTCCCATATCATAATTATTTCATTAAAAAAAAACTAATACTGTATAATAAAAGAGAACTTCGATGAGGACCAAGCAAGAAAAAACACTTTGCTAAGCAAGTTTTTAGTGATGGCAGCCCTACTCTATCCCCCGCTTAGATACGTATTCTAATAACAAAAATTATGATATAAAAGAAGTTATTTTTTTGTGGTCAGTGTTGCATGAATTGATAATAGCAATACATTATTCATTCTAAGAATTACCATTCATGCTTTGTAACATATCCTAGTTTTTGGCACAATGAAGTTAAAAAAAATAAAACCATGGGACGGCAATAAAAATGTTTTTTATCATCAGTCGTTATAGAAACCAAATAAACAAATACGCAGATTTAAGAGGAAATAGTCAAAGTATAACAAACAGATGGCATAATTTTATTCTATGACACTGCATTAACTTGACAATTTCATACTAAAGTTGGAAAATATATATAAAGTTATAAAGTAGGCAAAAGTGCAAGGACTTGATACCGAAGTCTATAGAAGCTTTCAGAGGAGACGCAAACCAAAGGTAAATAAGAAAAATGATAATTAAATCAAATAGAATAATACAAAGAGTGTATATATATATATATATATCAATTACACAGTCAAAACCACTAAAATTTACCAATTAGACAAATAGTGTGTCGCAAACATTTTGTTTATTATTAATCAAAAGTTACGAAAGTAATGACAAATATCACTTTTGATACAATGGTAACAACATGTAAAGCTAGAATGCCCTGAAATTTCAGCATTTAGGTATGATTACATTTGGAGATATGGTTCATTGAATATTGTTGAACGGGACAATATATTGATGTTGCAAAGCACTAAATTTATATATATTGATATATAATTTTAAAATAAGGAGGTGTGTCACTTTAAAATTAGTTAATATAGCAAATTTTGTTTATTGCCTACAAGAAAAAAAATAATCAACATGATCACATTCTTTTAAGGATATTTATTTTCCGACTTAATTGTGTCGCAACATTTGATGAAACATACGTTACCGGGTCATGCAGTTGGACATATTATTATGCATACTCAATAAAAAAAATTATTTATTCATCATTAATAAAAAATCAAGTGACTAAGTTTTCACTTCCTGGGTAAATTTGAGGGCAATGTAAATCACCAGTTTAAAGAAAAAATCTAAGAAAGTGGTGTTTTGTCGCCCGTATACTTAAGAAATGAAACCTACGTTACCACCGTAGCCAAAAATAGAACGGTTGATGCATGCGAGATATTGGGTGTATGTAATAGCATTATATCTGCACTTCAGGTAGTAAATTGTAAGTGGCTTCCGTGATTGAAACATATTTTTAACACACGATGAAGTTAAAATAAAACCTACGTTACCGAAACATACGTTACTGTAGTATTTACTAAGCCCTACGTAAAATTAACTAAAATCACGACAAAGCGTCGACATGCTTTGTAAACTGCCATTTGACGTTGAGGGGGTGCGGTTGGCAACGAGACGCTCTTTACTTTGCAGCGTAGTAGAAGTAACATGTTGATATTTCTGAAGAAACCTGACTTAAAATTTAGTTGAAGATAAGGCTTTTGTCATTTCTTTATAATAACTTAATATTTCTGTACAATAGTATCTGAAAACGTTGCACATTAAAAACTTGAAGGACTATTTGTTTTTACTAAAATAATATTTTCAATCAAGAACAATTTCCTTGGGAGGGTACCATGTGATTAGATCGTAACGTATGTTTCATAATATTGTAACGTAATGTTTCAATTTTCAATTCGCTAAATTCTTTGGCCTAGTACACTATTTTGAGAAAATTAGCCATTGTAAGCATGCACAAAATAGTCCTTAAACATACACAGATTATATTCTGTAAGTAATATTTAAGATTTATGATAAACACAAATTATTTACCACATACGGTATAATGGTAACGTAGGTTTCGTGTCTCCTTCTTAATTAAAAAAAAACTTTCTTAAAATAAGATGTTAAACAATGTGACAATTGCTTGTTTTTCAATCATCAACATGTTTACAAACATATGTATGCTAGTGACGATCCAGTGAAGGGTGTAAATTTTAGGGTCTTTTCAATTTTGAGGACTCGGACTTAAATATCTCTTTAAAAAAAACCAATGGGTCTAAACGAAACATTCTATAATACTTTTTAAAGGTCTTGTAAAATAATGATTAAATTTTTGTTGACGATCCGGAATAGGGTGTAGATCTGAGGACCATTAAAAGGAAAACGTCCCAGACCACATAATGAGGGCAATCAATAACAAACAAAGAAATGCATATTCCGAAAACGTAAACTGATCTAAATGAAACATTCCGAAAAAGTGTCAACCATTCGTCACTGCCCCGGCGCAATTCCAGACCTCTACCTAGGTGGTGCAAACAAGGGAGCAGGTTACACATTTGCCCTGCCAGTCGAATGGGTGCTCGGGGACAGTGACCAAGATAGTGGCCCCTAGAGACAGAGCAGACAGAGCAGTCACATTTGTAATCAAAAGAGAGAGAGTAAGAAAAAAAAATAAATAAAAAATAAAAAATAAAAACTGAAAATGACTGAAACAAGGGAATTTAGTTTTCACCAAAGACGGAAACAAAAAAATAGCGTTTTAAGTCTTGATTTGAACTATCCGACACTGATGGCATCACGTATATCGCCAGGAAGTCCATTCCAAAGAGTAGGAGATGATGTGGAAAATGCTGCATCCCCATAAGTGATAGTTGCAGGTGCTCTCGGTAGAGAAAGGAATCCCTGTGATCTAAGAGTTCTCTTGCTTTGCTAATCACTTATCAGTTCTTTGATGTAAGATGCCAGAGTTGTACAGTACCATGTGATGGCAATAAAAATATGTTATCATCAAATGTTTATAAAAACCAAATGAACAATTTATATGCAGATTGAAGAGGAAATAGTTAACAGTACTGTATAACAAACAGATAGCATCATTTTATACTTTGACGCTGTATTAACTTTAAACAGTTTTCAAACTGAAGTTGGAAATTTTGAAGTTATAAAGCAAGCAAAAGTGCAAGAACTTGATACCAAAGTCTAAAGAAGCTTTCAGAGGAGACACAAACCAAAAGTAAATAAGAAAAATTCATGAAAATCAAATAGGATAATAGAGAGAGCATATATATAACAAATACAGTGCCATCTATGCAAGGAAAAAATGTTGTTACTGATAAAAAGAGAAGCATGCCCATGTCATTTGCTGTAACAGCGTCACTGCTGTATTTTTGTCTATATTTAAACATTTTACTTGCACATTTTTGTATCACAAAATTCACTAAGAAAATCTTATGCAACAAAAATTGCAGATCTAGTAGCAAAACAGTTTTACTGCATGCTTTTAGCAGAGCATTTTGTAAATGGTTATCAGTATTATCTGATAATTCAGAGACGGATCCAGGAATTTAAAATAGAGAGGCCCAGGGAGGAACTTTCACAGATGGAAAGTTACCACCTCGGCCCCACCATGGTTGGGGCTGAGGTAAGAAAAAGATGATAATGGCAGCTCTAGATGGCCGAAAAAGACAACCTCTGACCTAAATTTGATTAATATGTTCCTCATGAAAAATTTAGTTGGGGGGGGGGGGTTGGGACAACTCGGCTCTCCCCTCTAAACGAATATGGTGTACATTCATTTATTTATCGCTTAATTTCTTGCAAACCATTTCCAAGGCTTGTGCCAAATTCTAGAACCAAAACAACCATCCTTTAACAGATGCTTATTAAAAGTATGATTATTTTTCTGTCATGAGGCTTATGTTTCAAATAAGTGTTGTGGAATTTAGCAAAAAAAAAAGGGGTTTGGTGTGGTGCGCATATTTTTAACATAGTTCACCGATAGTTACGCGTGATACGCTATAACTTATCGAGTCATATGACAATTATTTTCTTTATTACAGTATTTATTTTTTTCGTCATTAAAACAATATGAAACTTATTTTTTCTATTTAGTTATCTTCATTTTTGTACAATTCATTATTTTCTTTTTTAGGACAATATGGAATACATTTGGCTGTTTTTCTGCACATTTATTTGCATACATCATAATCTAGTCTCCAGTACGTCAACAATTACAACTGTAGAAGCCACACCAACGTTAACAGTCAGCATAACTTCTTCCAGTACAGTTACAACTATCGCTGCCACATCAACACCATCACCAACAGTCTCCAGTACCGTTGCAACTAATGCAGCCACATCAACACCATCACCAACAGTCTCTAGTACAGCTGAAACTATTGGAGCCACATCAACACCATCACCAACAGTCTCCAGTACGGTTACAACTAATGCAGCCACGTCAACACCACCACCAACAGTCTCCAGTACGGTTGAAACTATTGGAGCCACATCAACACCATCACCAACAGTTTCCAGTACGGTTACAACTAATGCAGCCACGTCAACACCATCACCAACAGTCTCCAGTACGCTTACAACTATTGAAGACACAACTCCATCACCAACAGTCTCCAGTACGGTTGAAACTATTGGAGCCACATCAACACTATCACCAACAGTCTCCAGTACGGTTACAACTAATGCAGCCACAGCAACACCATCATTAACAGTTCCCAGTACAGTTACACCATCACCAACAGTCTCTAGTACTGTTGAAACTATTGGAGCCACATCAACACCATCACCAACAGTCTCCAGTACGGTTACAACTAATGCAGCCACAACAACACCATCACCAACAGTCTCCAGTACGGTTACAACTAATGCAGCCACATCAACACCATCACCAACAGTCTCCAGTACGGTTGAAACTATTGGAGCCACATCAACACCATCACCAACAGTTTCCAGTACGGTTACAACTAATGCAGCCACAACAACACCATCACCAACAGTCTCCAGTACGGTTACAGCTATTGCAGCCACATCAACACCATCACCAACAGTCTCCAGTACGCTTACAACTATTGAAGCCACAACTCCATCACCAACAGTCTCCAGTACGGTTGAAACTATTGGAGCCACATCAACACTATCACCAACAGTCTCTAGTACGGTTACAACTAATGCAGCCACAACAACACCATCATTAACAGTTCCCAGTACGGTTACAACTAATGCAGCCACAACAACACCATCACCAACAGTCTCCAGTACAGTTACAACTAATGCAGCCACAACAACACCATCACCAACAGTCTCCAGTACGGTTACAAATAATGCAGCCACAACAACACCATCACCAACAGTCTCCAGTACAGTTACAACTAATGCAGCCACAACAACACCATCACCAACAGTCTCCAGTACGGTTACAACTAATGCAGCCACAACAACACCATCACCAACAGTCTCCAGTACGGTTACAACTAGTGCAGCCACGACAACACCATCACCACCAGTATCCAGTATGGTTACAGCTACTGCAGCCACATCAACAACATTACTAACAGTCTCCAGTACGGTTACAACTACTGCAGCCACATCAACACCAACGTTAGCAGTCATCACAACCCTCTTCAGCATTAAAACAAATGGAAACACCACACTACCACCAGACAGCACAAGAGGAAACACCACACTACCACCAGACAGCACAAGAGGAAACACCACACTACCACCAGACAGCACAACAGGAAACACCACACTACCACCAGACAGCACAACAGGAAACACCACACTACCACCAGACAGCACAACAGGAAACACCACACTACCACCAGACAGCACAAGAGGAAAAACTACACTTCCACTAGACAGCACAAACAATTCAGAACAGACCACACAACCAGGTAGATCATTTCATTGGACTATAATCATCATTGTTCCTTCAAGTCTTGGAGGCGGCTGTGCAATAATTGTTATTGTTGGAGTATGTTACATATCAAAGAAAAAAAGAGTACCCCGCATACATCCAGAGGCAACAGCTTCAGAAGCTTAAATAATATTCTATACTCTATGATACTATGTACAAAAAAACTTTTAACCCAGAATATGTTGTAGTAGTAATAGCATAAGTTGTTTGCAACATTGCTTTAACTTAATGAATTGGATATTTTGACCACATTTTGACCACCAGGCAGGAGGTAATACAGTTGAATGAACTATGGTTTGATATGAAATAACCAAGTGAAGATCCTGCAACACCTACAAAATACTGTTGCCCGCCTAATAGAACATCAAGGACGCGTAAATTTGATAACATCTCCCCAGTGCTTGCAGACCTTCATTGGTTACCAGTGCAGCAACGGATACAATACAAGGTGTTGGTCCTGGCATACAAGACAGCACAATCTTGCGCCTGGTTGCCTATCTGAGCTTGTGTAGATTTACCAGCCCACAAGAGCTCTTAGGTCAGGTGCCCAAAGTAAGCTCGTGGTTTCAAAAACTACAACATCCACCTATGGCAGGAGAGCTTTTACTGTCGCAGCTCCAACTTTGTGGAACTCCATACCAATGTCCATCAGCCAGTGTGCTACTTTAAACTATTGAAAGACCAAGCTAAAGACCTTTATTTTCCATCAATTTTTTCACTAATTTAACATTGCATCCTTCTGTTTTTTTATGTACAGTGCATTGACAGCTTGCTTGATAAATATTTGAATTTGGCGCATATGAATGTTTGTTGTTATTATTATTAATTATTATTATTATTATTATTATTTTTATTATTAATATTATTATAAGAATCAACTATTATTATTATTATTATCATTGAAAGTACAGTAATATCAGTGGAGGAGGAAATATACGAACTTGTCCTAGGCAGCGGTGTAGCCAGAAATTTAAGGACAAGGTGGCTGACACTTCTGACAGAGGGGTCCGAGCCAAGGGGCCGACGAAGCCTTGGTCAACGGTCTGGAATTAAAACTCCCTTGCAGGGTTCAAATTGAGAGTTTTCATGGATTAGTATGATCCAAAATGTGTTTTTAGACCACAATATTAAGGATTGGCAGTCAAAATATCATTATTTGGATAGGCAAATTATTATCTTTTTTGTTTTTATCCGAGAACCTAGTCGTGCATCGGACGACAGTGGTCCAGGCCTGTATGATGAGTGTGGCGAGGAGTGTTATAGAGTACACTGTTACTATTTATTTATTTTTTCTTTTTTATCTAAAGGGCACCATGACAGTTCAGAGCTTTTTGTTTGTTTGCGGCTGTCCTATTCCATTTCATTTCAAATGATGCATTTGAAATTGTACTGTTTTATGTTACTTGATTTGGAATAAATTACTTTTGAATTGAATTAAAGAGTCATGGAAGGGGGGGGGGGGTAACTTAACCTTGACTAATTTTTTATGTGGGGGCCAGTGTCTCTTCCTAACTATAATTCCTCTCCAATTTGCATGAATGTGCCAATTACTGTACCACAATGAAAAAATAATCCATGTTGACCTATACCTTTAGGTTGCTTTAGTTTTTATGAAAGGACAATTTAATGATTTTAAAGGCTACTTAAGAAAGTATGTAATACATAATTCAAGTATTGAAATGCACACCATCATGTTGGGATTCAATATTTCGACATTAATTACATCATCATCAGGAACACTTAGTCTTACAATATGTAAGCCTGGTTTCTTTAAAATCGCTACAATTTTTTCAGTGCAATCGTTGTATTGAGTAAAAGTCCCTAACACAATCGGGAAGGCTCCCCAATTCGGTCGACCAATCATAATCACCAAAAGATGTCGGTGATAGCGTGTAGCGATTGAAACTAAGCTTAAAACTAACATAATAGCAGGAGCAACAGGGCTGAAATGTAAACAAATTTAAAGGATTTCTGTCCAAAAAAAAATCATGTTGCAAATGTTGTATAAGAATTATACTCTCCCAGACAAATTTATTCTGTGGGTTAGAAATGTGGTTTTTTTTTTTGCTATTGCCTACCAGAAGGCCCAATCTCTGGGAAATGATAAAAGTAGGGCTATAACTCATGCTTAAGTTATCAAATACTAATTATGTAAATGAAAAAATGATTGTGTTAGCCACACCCAACCTATCCAAAATTTACAAAATTGAGGTTCGGCATTTTATTTATTTATCTATTTTTTTTTTACAACACAAAATATTTTTTAATGAACTATAAAGTCTAGAATAGCCCCATCTTTCTGGCTGGTAGACAATGCGACAGTGTTATGTGATCATTTTGCTCTTAAATATATGTCTTTGATGTATTTTTGTGTATTTTCTACTTATTAGGCATTAACACATTATTGGTTAAAAAAAAAAAAGAAACTTTTCCTACCTGACCTACCTATTTTTTGAATTTTCGCAAAACATGGCCAACACATAAGATTTTTTTTTATTTTTTTAGCCTAACTTAAAAGTACAGTACTATATTTTAAAAGGCTGAATCTTATATTTTTGAGATTTAGGGTCAGGTGTGGAAAACAAAATTTTTTGGGTTTTTTGTTTTGTTTTGTTTTTGACCACCATTAATACCACCACCATGTTTAGCACATCTCACATTAATATAAAGATCAATAAGACACTGTGACAATTTCTGAATAAGAAAAAAAAGAAAGACGAGTCTAGTAACTTTATTAATATTTATGAATTTAATACTTTCTTTGGGGCAATGTATTTTAATTTAATCAATCAATTAATGGTGCATATGCATTTGATATACTATGCAATTTGATGTTTCTGCTCCAAGCAATTTTGTAAGTGTTTCATTGTTTGAAAACAATTTCTGTAAATAAAATTGATAATCTTTGTAACTACTGTAATGTCTTGCACAATCTTCTGTTTAATGTTTATACAAAAATGACAAATAATTGCTCCGGAATCGTAATGTCATGGAAACTGAATAAACAATTACAGTAGGCCGATTTTCATTGTAGAAATTCCATCCATTACACTGAAAATTAAAAAGCAAAAGTAAGGGTAAAAACATTTACATCTGCATTGATCAAAATAACAATTACACATTTTCCTCAATTAATTGAATATGAAACAAGTTCTGATTTATTTAATTCATTTTATTTTTATACCAGAAATCTTCCTCATCACATTTAATTTCTGGACACCCATCAGATAATGAACTAGTCTAAACATTGGACTGAAGGGTTGCTATGGAAATAGATAAAGAATCAACCATCAGTTTTAACTCAGATGATGTCAAATTTCCTAGTCATTGTTCTCAGATACTTTATTAGATTTGGACAGTTTTACTTCAAGCTGAATATATATATATAAGTGAGCAAACCTTAGAAACTGTAGTAAATTTAGACCAACGTGACACCTACAGATATGGGAGCCAAACCAAAGGTAATCACAAAATTTATTTACAATATGAAAGGACCACTGAACTCCTACTAGAGTCGCTTACCCAGAGGTTACGGAACTAGGGGGGTGCTGTGTTATGGACAGTCACAGTGTGTGACCGGAAATGGTCTGCCAGTTGGTTGTTACCATGCGCCAGTGATGTTAGTACAGCAAAGCAATATAAAAACTATTATGTAGGCCTAATGAATGCATAAAGTTCGGAGTTTGTTGGTGAAATTACCTAGGGGGTGGTGTACGCACCTCCAAAACATTTTTTTTTTTAAATTTATATTTTTTTTTGGCGGGTGGCGGGTTTGGTAAGCAGGGTATAAAAAATATCTCGCCTTATGTGCTCCCTTAACCCATTGTGAGTGACATATGATGAGCCAAACTCAGAATCGGGGATTTTGGTGAGGGGAGGGGGAATACCCCCAGATAATTTTCTTTTTCCCCTCCCCTCACAGTTTTCCCCCTGCAAAAAAGAAAAAAAAAACCACAATTGTTTGGGGAAGAAAAAAAAATGATTTGTATTTTCTACATATTTGTAGACTATCTATAATATCGATTAAATAAGCTTCCGAAACCCCTAAAATTGTCATATTTTTCGGGGTTTCACCCCCTGTACCACTTTCAAGGCATTGTGAGTGACACCCGACCACGCCCACTTTGGGCCACCCCAGCATATTTTCTCCCTAAAATCTTACTTTACGCCTCACTCCCACCCCCCCGTCCCCCGGCCGCTTTATACTTTATATGTTGGCACCGCCACTGAGGCATTGTAAAACCTATACATCTTGCTGCAATAACTTTGCTTGCCAATATCACAAACTAAACTACTTAAGACAAGATCATTTTTATACCCGCCGCTCACCAATATTGATTTTGAATATATATAAAATTTAATTTTTTACCAATTAACATACTCGCCGCCATGAAAAAATGGAAATTTCAGAAAAAAATGTTTGTTTTTATTTTTATTACGCCTGTCACTGCCTTGAAATCTCCAAAAATAAGATATGTATCCCATTAATAGACTGTTTACATTCGCCAATAAAATTAAATTATATTATATTTTTATCCTCCCGTCTGTGTTTTGCAAACTATTTGCTAATTTTATTCTCTTTCTGCCTTACTCTAACGATCTTTTAAAATTCTCTCCAGATTATCAGATTTTCTTTGATAAAAAACTGTTGTACGCCCATATATGGTTATGATGTGCCTATATATGGTCACGATGTGATGTCATCATCACCATATTTAGAATAAGAGAGCACAGTTAACAGTAAAGAGAAATCTGAATTGCAGCTCTTACTTTTTTTATGCATACATATTGTTTAAAATCTTTTAAATTTGGTATTTATAGGAGAATATAGGATTCATTTGCTTAATCCTCTGTTCCTTGATTTGGTTACATTTTGAAAATTCAGCTGTTACTGCATCCAATAATACTACACAGTATTCATCCACTACTGATTTTAATAAAACATCAACATTACTATCAACAACAAATGGAGAGACAACAGCATCAACAACAAGTGGAGAGACAACAGCATCAACAACAAGTGAAGAGACATCGTCAACAACAGGGGAAGACAAAACTGTGTCCACAACAAGTGATAAGACTACACCCTCACAAGCAAACCCCTCATTAACCATGAAAACTCTTTTGCTAACAACTACAGTATTGAACAACGAAACCACCGAAACACAGGCTAATACTCAGAATGTTACCGACAATGAAGATGAAGCCAATAATGACAACGGATTGTCTGGAGGTGCCATTGCTGGCATTGTCATCGGATCTGTAATTTTGTTATGCTTTATAGTTGGGGTAGTTATACGTATCAAGCTTAATACAGTGACCCCAGCACAGTCAGCACAGTCAGATACATAAATATGACCTCCATTGAAAATTTTGTTCAGAATCAAGGAGGCAAAAGATGCGGTCAACATTTGATTGGATAAAAGGGTATCACTGCTTAAGCTTGTCCACATTATGCCCATATATAGTCATCATGATGTGCCCATATATGTTCATGATGTGATGTCATCATGACCATATTTAGGCATGTCACATGTTTTTGTCAAATAACATTTGATAGTGTGGATAGGACTTTAGGTTTACTGAACCAGTGGACTGCAAATAATTAATTAGTGCACCCACCACGATGAAAAAGTGGAAATTTCAGAAAAAAACAAACTTCTTTCTTTATTTCTATTACGCCCTCCGCTTCCTTGAAATCTCCAAAGATAAGATATGTATATTTTCTCCTAATTATATAAGTTGAAGCATTTAACAATCTTATTTTACATTCACCAACAAAATTTTATTTTTATTTTCTCCTCCGTCTGGACATTTTTGGAAAAACTATTTGCTAAATAAGAAAACAAAATTTTATTTTTATTGTTATTCCGCCCTCCTCTAATCATCTTTAAAAAATTGTTGTATGCCCATATATAGTAATGATGTGCCCATATGATGTCATCATGACCATATTTAGTCATGCCACATGTTTTTTTCAAATAACATTTTATAGTGTGGACAGGATCACTGATCCTTTTCAAAAGTTTTAAATATTTATTATATTATTGTACTCAATTATCTTTAACAAAATCACAGCATCAAATGGTGTCATACTAAAATACTGTATAATATTTATATAAATTTAAATTATATATTCACTGTATAAAATGGTACTGTAGATTATATCAAATTCAATTGGTCTAAATTACAAGTGGGCAAAGTGCAACCAGACTCAAGCGGTTGGCCTGGTTACACCATAACGACAACCAATGTGTTAGGATTGCTACACAGTACAACAATGCACTAAAAAAACTGTTGCGACAGTGTAGAGATTGTATGGAAAACAAGCTTCAGTTTGCTTGATTAATTAGACCTAAATGAAAAATATCTAATAATTAATTCTATACAAAAGGTATTAAACAATCAGCTAGCCATGTGTCTCATATTGCTGTGTTACTGGTTAACTCTTAATTCAATTAGTTTTATGATAGCTCATTTGATTAGTTTGTTTTTAATTCTTCTTTGAGATGATTTTTAATTGTGTATTAGTCGCAATAAGTCAATTTCCATGTCTATTTCCATTTCAATGGATTAAATTAAATGTTATTGTACCATAGAAGTAATATATTGTAATTTATTTGAATATTATTTGAGACATCAAAGAAAATATGTTTGCTGCGTGCAAATATTTTCCTTTTCAAATTAGTAATATTAGCTCATCACCTACAGCAATTTCAGGGGCGGCACCAGAAGGTGGGCCAACTGGGCCCAGGCACAGGCACCTGGGAGAAGGAACCAGCTGTTGAGGACACCTGACCCAGCCACTGGGGGAAATCATGGTAATATTAATTTTAAAAATAAAAAAGCAATGAATTTTCATGATAAAAAATAAAAAAGCAATGATTTTTCATATTCTTTAAGTGCTTTGAGACGATTTTTAATTGAGTATTAGTCGCAATAAAGTCGATTTCCATGACTATTTCCATTTCAATTGATTAAACTAAATTTTATTGTACCATAGAAAAATGGAATTTATTTGCATATTATTTGAAACATCGAAGAGAATGTTCGCTGCATGCCAAAATTGTCCTTTTCAAAGTAATATTAGCTCATCACCTGCAGCAATTTAACAGGGGCAGCACCCGTAGGTGGGCCAGCTCTGCCTGGGCTCAGCCATCAGGGGCAAAGGAACCAGCTATTGGGGAAATCCAACACAGCCGCTGGGAAATTGTGGTGATATTAATTTACAAAATAAAAATGCAATGATTTTAATTGCTCATCTTAGCACCGCAATATGATATTAGTTAATTAAAGTAAGATTACTAATTAAATGATTATGTATTTAAAATCTAGTTCCTACATTGTTGCACAGACCCTTAAATTGGCTGGTACCAATTTAAGAATTGTTTTAGTAAAAAAAAAGTATTATTAAAAACTGTTGTCCAAACCTGTGTCTTTTGAAGTTGACAACTTAATTCTTTCTTAAGTAGAAGCCAGTGTGGCGCAGTGGTAAGGTGTTTGACTTTAAATTGAGAGGTTGTGAGTTCGAGAAACACGCTGGTCGCATCGCTGTCCTTGTCTCGACACTTTTGATGCCTTTTTTCACCTAGGAGTATTTAAATGGGTTGGTATCTGGGCAGAGTAGTGGCATATCTAAGAGTTTAAAAAGGTGGGGGTTGCTGATGGAGGGCATGAAGGCGAGGTGGGGCCTTGATGATTAGGTAAGGGGGCACTAACTAGCAAAATAAGGTGATTTTTCAAATACTTGAAAGTGATTATTAAAGGGCAACTTGGGGTGAGGGGAGTTGCCTAACTAGCGAAATATATTGATACTAACCCAACACATTATTTTTGGAAGATGCACTTCTATAAATTTGTGTGTTAAATGTTGTAATATAATATTTTCTGTCATTAGTAATGTAAAACAAACTTTATTCCATAATAAAACAAACAAAATGTACATTTCAAATTCGAGAATAATGGAAAAGGGAACTCAAATAAAGCAAAGTTTTTAAGCTGAGACCCTTGTGAAAGAAATAATAAAAATAATTAAAATCAATAAATATCACAAAGAAATAGCCAAATGAATATAAGCAATTGATTTCTATACCTTGTACATTTATTCACTGCAGTTTCAGAACATTTTTAATTTGAAAAAAAAAGTCACAGATACAAAATAAAAATTAATTGAATAATATACTTAATTTATTTTTCAAATAAAATAAGTACATAATATATTCAATTTTTATTTTGTATCAGCTCTTATTGGAATTTTTCAAAATAATATAATATAATATAAAATAAAATTATTTTATATTAATTTTATGTTATTTTGAAAAATTCTAGTTTTTGTAACTTTTCTTTCATATTTTATTTTCTTAATTTGTTTTACTTACTGGCTAATTACAAGATATTTTGTATAGATATTCCAACTAGCAATCATTTCTTTTTATTTGTTGGTTTGAATGTTTACCTAGCAACTATGACAAACCTAATAGCAAATTGCGAGCCCTGGTCAACATGACCATATCCATGCTACTGTATCATCTTACCCTCTTCTCCTTCCCCTTTCCACAAAGTGGCTACCAGCAGTTTAGGCAATTGAGATATAAATTTAAAGCGGAGTTAATATCAAAAGCTGTGTTGACTGAACCAGTGAACTTTGAAGAGTGGTGTACTGTATCTAAGGGTGCATAGGGGTGCACACCCCCAAAGAATATTCTGCCACCCCCTCCCCTTCCCGAATCCTGAGCGACCACTCAAATAGTTGTTTACAACCGAGTAATTTCTTTTCATAAACAATTTATTAATTGTGTTGCATTTCAATTTCATCTTCGTTTTATTACCAGATAATGCTCGTACTGGTAATGATCGAGAATATTTAACAAGTAAGCTTATGCATGCAAGCTTATCAATTTTGTATCTGAGTGGGAAATGCATAAAGAAGATATTGTACACTCTCATTAATGTAATAATAATAAAATCATTAATTATGGATTTAGCATACAGACTCTCGTTTATTTTCTGTCCTTGTTTAATCAATTATCCATGCATCTTACATGAAGACATTGGTCAAATATTAATTACAAAGTACAGAAGTTTAGATATAATTATTACCAAGTCATTTTGACACACATCAATGATTTTCATCATTGAGCTAGTAATATTTACATAATATGATCTGTATCCTATGGAGCTAGTAAAATTTGAAGCGAATTTTAGAATTTTCAAGCCATTACAGTAGTGTTAAGGCTTTACTTTCTCTGATACCGTATATACTCACATATAAGGTGACCCACGTATAAGACGACCCCCGAGTTTGAACAAATTTTTGTACGACTTTTGTATGTTGTGCATATAAGACGACCAACGCCCCCGCCCTGTTTCACCATTTGAATTCACACTTTTTGCTGCTTTGTACGTTTTTGTTACTGCACCAAGCTGGCTAAAAATGAAGCCAAATATAGGGTCAAAGTTCAGAATACCATTTTATGACACTTTAAATGTTCAACAACATCTTATTTCCTGTATTTCAAATTGATTTCATTCGTAGGCCCGGAGGCCTACTAACAATTTAGCTTTATTGCAGTAGTAAATTAGTGTGTTACGATTTTTATTTACTTTTTATTCAACCATCTTTAAAGAGGGTAACCCTTCCAGTTTAGCCCAGTAGGTGAACTGATATTCAGGGGCCCTCTTTAACAAAATTAAAGAACAGTACAAACAACATCATTACAACATAATAATAATAATAATAATAACAATAATAATAATAATAATAATAATAATAATAAAAATAATAATAACGATTGATCCACACAAAAGACAAACATGATGTCGCGTGTATAAAATGACACCATGTCATAATTTTCTATTTTTAAAGCGAGTTTTTTTACCCTGGCAGTTAATTTAATTTTTTTCGTTCAGCTTTAGGCACTGAGACCAAGGATATGCCAAAGAGTGAATGTCATCACTCTGCAGAGTGGCTACAGGCACGGGGTAAACCACCTTATCACCAAAAGTAATAGGGGCTATGATATGCAAAGTGGCTACAAGCACGGGGTAAACCACCTTATCACCAAAAGTAATAGGGGCTATGATATGCAAAGTGGCTACAGGCACGGGGTAAACCACCTTATCACCAAAAGTAATAGGGGCTATGATATGCAAAGTGGCTACAGGCACGGGGTAAACCACCTTATCACCAAAAGTAATAGGGGCTATGATATGCAGAGTGGCTACAAGCACGGGGTAAACCACCTTATCACCAAAAGTAATAGGGGCTATGATATGCAAAGTGGCTACAAGCACGGGGTAAACTAGACTTGCCACAAGTCTCTAATTTATGGATTTTTTGTAGTACATTAGCGCATTTCGGAAAGCGCCACCAGTGTCAGTTTATGTTGAGAAACTCTTTCGATGAGAATTAGAAATAATCTTAATAACCTAATCCCAGAAAAAGTATACTATGGAGCGCCATGCAAATAAGTAATATGGAACGCCATTTGTGCCAAAATCGATTTATTCTTAAGCATTTCAACTGATAAGACAAAGATTAGGGACTGGAACCCAGTCTAGGGGTAAACCACCGTATCACCAAAAGTAATGCTATGATATTATGTGTTTTATGAAAACGAAGTGACACATGAATGACTTCCATTTTCTCATCATTCAGTTTAAGTTTGTTGTTTACCATCCAATTTTTGATCTCCTTCATACAGTCTTGGAACTCTGCAAGTGTTTGTGGCACATCGGAAGAGTGTGATGTGGTGTACAGTTGAATGTCGTCAGCATATACCAAAGCATTAAGATTATACTTTGAAATAATATCAAAAATTGGCGCAATATACAAACTAAATAAAATGGGCCCTAAAACGGAACCTTGTGGTACACCACAAGGCAAGATAAACTCGGAAGAAAAGCGAGTTATCTATGGAAACAAATTGGGTGCGGTCAGTGAGATAGGACACAAACCACTTATGGTGCCCTTTCACGTACCCAATAAGAATACGAGAGCCACTGTAACAAAACACTATGGTCTATTGGAAAAGATCGAGAAGTGTAACAATGCCTTCCTTTCCGCTGTCTACTGCAGAATCGTTGTAACACGTGCTAGTGCTGTTTCAGTACTGTGGCGTATTCTGTACACAGACTGACATGTAACTTTGAGTTTATTAACCTCAATATGCTTCTCAAATTGCTCTGCAACTACCTGCTCAATTAAGTTCGAAATAAAGCATGAATTAGAAATGGGCCTATAATTACTAGGAACACTCTAAGTCTAATGATCGTTTCTTAATCACATGAGTAATACATGCTTTCTTCGGTTCAACTGAAACAAACAACCGTTCTAACCTTTTTTTTTTTGTAATCATAATTTTTAAGCTTTGCTCCCTTACCCTATGCACCTGATTTGTCCCAATTATCATCTGTTTGTCTAAATGGTCTAATTATTACTGCAAAACAACTGACTGAGTCTTGGCTAGTGAATGTGGAAGTAAACATATGCAGCTGGCGAAACAGACACAGTAAAAGTAATTTTCCGGTCAATCTAAAATATGGATTGCTATTCAACCGTGTCTGCAAACGTTTGATTATTTATGTTGTTGAGTCTTTGAGACCAGTAGATTTCCAGATGTTAGCATTTTTTGGCAAGGGGTGCCAAAGTTAACAGGTCATGGCGAAACATTCACTGATTTTTTTATGGAGAATTTACAATAGTATACTCTGTGGGCTGTCGAAACCACATGTTTTTTTATTTATATGTATCAGTAAATATATACTGATACCTATAAGCTATATTACAATTAATGTTCGAATCACATTGTCTTTAATATATTTAAAAATATATTCACCATGCGCTTGTTTTTTGTATTGCCTATGTACATTTCAACTTTTTTTGACAATCTTTTAGTAATTAATACTGATTTTGAAAATGTTCAGAGGTATAAATATAAACATTTAACTAATCGGCAAATTTGTCGAGCCGGCCCTGATTAGACTTCCACTAACTTTAAATCCTGTATATGCCCCTACATGGGGTTGTCTGCTGCTACTGGACATCTCGAAATGCCATATTTTCAAAATGCTTTCACATCAGGCCCACCATAGTCGGGCTGAGGTGGTACGGTACATAGGTATAAATTTAATATTCCAAGTAACTTTACATGTTTGGGTTTACCCAGGGTAGACCCTACAATTGCCAACTCATGTTTTAGGCATAGAGGCAATGGTGTAACTACCAGCGGTTCAGTTTTCATTCATTCTATGGAAAAGTGTCCCCTTAAGGGGTGTTCCTAAATAATAGTGTCTCGAAAGAGGGGTTTTATACCATCATATATTTCTCTTGGCACCCATGTTAACAAAGTTTTCATGGTATTACATCTCGACCCCTGAAAAACCAACCAAATTCTAACAGTGTTCCCCTCCTCCATTTTACAAAAAAAAAGCTGGATAGAACTTGAATCTTATGCTCTGTTAGATATGTCTTTCTCACCTGGAAGGCCTAAATCTGTCCATGGCAGTACAGTATACCTACATGGTCTGATTGCCAAAAGACTAGACTAAAATCAAAGTGTAATAGGTATAATGCCTAGCATAAACAAATATAACAGAGCACTTAATTTTAAAAAAACTTTTAAAAATTCAAGTGATAATACAACTCAACACTCAAGGCGTGATAAATAATTCACTATTGCTTCAGGCCAAATTTGGCAAGTACCGGTAATTACAAATTATATCAGCATTATGTTATTCAAAACTCTACAGTATTCATATTTGTAGACCTATTTCATAATGCATAGCACATTGCATCCTTTCAATACATAACACATGTTCTATTTAATTGCATATTGTCTATATTCTTTTCACAATACCTTGCAAGTGGTGTAAATATATATATGTGTAAACATATATATGAACACATATATTTACACAATGTGCAAGGTACTGCTTATATTTCACAAAACCTTGCACGCAGTGGCGGCGCCGGGACAGCAGTGGCTTAAGCCTCCACTGGACAGGTCAAGCCCCCCCATCAGACAAAGCTTGTCGGGCAGTTGGCCAAAAAAAAATATAAAAATAGGTCCACGCCAAGCCAACGCACGCCTGTCAGTGTGAGAATGTCATCCAGAGGTTCCTTTCCTTTAAAAAATCTCATTTGGGAGGGGGAACACCCTCTAAAATCCTTCCCCAGTTTGGGCCTACAAGCTCAAGTCCCCCTGTCAGACAGCTTAGCCCCCCCCCACCCAGAAAATATACCCTAGAGCCACCACTGCTTGCATGTTGTGTAAATATATATCTGTGCAGCCAGACCGAAACCAGGCACTGTTATTCATTGTATTATAATGCATTCATGTTACTTGCTCTTTATATTTATTCATTGAGGGATAAGCAACTCAATTCATTTGTCTGTTTATGGCACTGACTGATAAAAGTTAAATTTTGAATAGACCTCCATTTGTCTCTATTTGTCCACGGTGGGGGGGCTAAGCAGGGTATGATACAATTTGATGATGGAGGCATTTAATCGAGATAATTTTCATGGTCGGAGGCACAAACATTTTTTTCCCAGGGCTGCTCATAAAAATTTGTGGTTCTAAATTGGTTATATATGTTAGGAACATGTATAGACCACTTAGCAATCGACTCCAGGAGCCTAAGATTGTAAGACAGGACTTTTGATGACCTGGCTACAACTGCATTTCAAATACTAAATTGATTTCTTTAATAATAGCAGTAGCATAGATTAATTAATCACAATGGAACTATACTAGGTCTACTGTACATCAATAAAGGAATATAAATATTCAAAATAATTTAGTATAATATTCATTTTTATGGGATTATGAAATGGGATTAATCAAATTTTAATACATCTGCATGAAATTTTTCAAGAAATAAATAGTTAATTAAAATGTAGTTTATTTATGTCCATGACAACTGCCATATAGTTACCATGGAAGAGGAATATTGGAAAATTGAAATCATATTACTACCAGAATTATAAAAGCTGACATATAGGGGGCGACAGATTTTTTTACAGGAGTGTATTTGTCAAACCCAGCACAGTAATTTTGATCAATGAATACGTTTATTTGCGAGATGATGTAACTGTGTGCAGACCTCCAGTTTAATGTATCACAGAGGGCGACAGAAAATGTATTTTCCTGAATTACAATACAGCACAAAGTACTGTACAGTCTAATTACACAGTTGGATGGCTTATGTTCAAACCAATAATAGAGGATGCCAGATAATGTTTTCATTCTTTCAACAGAAATTACAACACACAAAATATAGTATATAACATCAGGGGTTCTCAACTATATCGCAATAGGGGCCAAATTTATAATTGAATAAATTTGAAGGGCCAGAGCAAGAGGTGTACTATGGCGCGCAGCGCCATCCGAGCGCCGCAGGTGCGTGTCGCGGGAGGGTTTGGGAGGTGTCACGTGTCCCCCTTCGCAACACTCATACATGATATCTTTACCTGCGAAAATTACCCATGTGTTTGATAATGCAAAAGTCAAAATGTTTGGTCATCAGTAATGTAATAGGCCTACAGACAGTTCTTCTGATTTGATTGATTAAATCGCTACAATTTGTGGAGAAATATATAGACCTAGCCGACAAAACAGAATGCAAAATTACTAAGGTTAGAAAGAATGTAAAATATAATTTTTTCTCGTGGGACGCATAACACGCACTCACAAGCCGGAGATGGCCTACGGGCCGCCAGTTGAGAACCCATGAAATAGATTAATGTGCTATAGCAAAAAACTTGGGGTAGGATTTTAATATTACAGCAGCTCAGCTGACATTCACAACACAGAAATATTAATTGGAAATGTAGAGCTGAAAATTTGCCTTTCCAAGATTTTCAAGTAATTTTGTGTTCAATGTGGTGGGCTTATAGTTGAAAATTTGCCTTTTGATTGGCATTTCTAAAGATACCCCTACCCACGAAATGGACTCATACCCGAATAATTTACAGACAACTTACCAAGAAGACACACTCTCTTTAAATCTTCACCATGACTGGACTTTCTGATATGGTATGGCTACTTTTCCCTCTCAACTTACTCCCTCAGTTGGTGTATGATGTCACTTGATCTTTTGAATCCAGTCAAATATATAGGCCTTTATGATGGTGCTAATAGTCCTTTTGAACTTACTCCCTCTGTTGGAGTATATACTTTGCTTTATTTTTTTTAATCCAGTCAAATACAAACTGTTCACATGCAGTAACTTGTAATCTGGCTTCATCCGTCTCAGTAGGCATTGAAATTGTCATTGCAATCATACGCTGAAAATTTTCAATAAAACAAAATAGTCACTGTTAGGAAAAGAGAATATTCGCTAGCATTTTTTGACTGTGAAAGCTGTTTGGCACATGGAAATGTTTGGTTTCCCAACTTTGAGGTTGGGGTTTCAATCCTTCACTGTGCATTTTGCTTGTGTCCTTGAGCAAGGCACTTTATCTACATTGCTTCAGTCTACCCAGCTATATCAAGGGGTACCAGCAAATTGCTGGGAGTAACCTGTGACGGACTAGTACCCCACCCAAGGGGGAGTATCACATTCTCATCTGCTTCATGCTACAAAAACTGGGGATAAGCTCCAGTTCTATGGGACCACACTATGGCTGAGGAACTACATTTTTCAACTGAGCAGAAATGTTCTTTATTATAATTAAATATGAGAGGATTACTATGTGTTTGCATACCAGTACACATTTCATTTTTGTTGTATGTGTTCTTGCATCAAAATGCTAAAAAACCTGAATGATTTTACATTAACGTAAAGGGACCTACCATGCCTCTTGGCTGTGATGCAACACTATGTAATACTTGCTCCAAATACTCATTTGACCTATAAATATATAGAGAAGTGCTGAATATGGAAAAAATTGTTTTTTATTTTTATTTAATTCTTATTCACAATATGGTGTCTGATCATTAGCAAGCTACAACTCATATGGGTCTTTTCGTATCATTTTTGTAAAAAGGTGAAAACTTACTTTTGTGTACAAGGACTGTTACTATGGTGATGAACAAGGAACCGTTTCAGAAGTCTTGCATTTAGAATGTCTGAATGCTCTTCTTTCATTTGAAAGTTTTCCCGCATATTTTGATGTAAATACATTTGACTTGACTTAGCTTGAATGCACTCGCTGGCATCCTTTAAATATAGAAGCAATTTTAAGGTTACAGTAAAGAAAAGTGAAGGTGAAGGTAGAATAACTCATAACTTGCAGCATCATCATCCTGAACTGTGTATGGACATGGTCCGAGAGTACCTAGCCGCAGTAAAGAAATGCTAATAGTAGTTACATGTTCACATCATTCCACAACGACAGGGCTGGAATGAACCATAGCACCGGGGGAACCCCCTACTCTTCCAAAAGACACAAACAGGTTCTTTAAAGTGCATGCAAGCCAGATGTGTACCGAGGACCTCTATTTTAAATCCTTATTCAAGAAAACAAACCAATCAAACCCTGGGTGAGGAGCGGCTCAATCCAGCACCGACGTTAAGGAGTAGATAGCTCCTGCCTCGACACACAAAAATTAAAATACAATTTCAATTTACGAATGGAAATAGTTTAATGAACTACAAACATAAATAATATTAAATTGTAAAGATCACTTGCCTATGAAAATGATATCACATCACACTTATGATTTTGGGTGAATCAAGTGGTTAAAAAGTAAAGCAAGAGTGCCGCTAACTATAGCCTTTTAAAAGTGCCTCTCCACGGTAGCTAGGTACAGCAGTCACAGACCACACCCATACACAATTCAGCACAATGATGCTCTGAGTTATATCTGATTGAATGGACAAATATGGATTTTATCGCTGTACTTACTTGAATGACCTGGTCAAATCCTGAGGAACCACTATCCTCTGCTAAATGAGTATACTGCTCTAAAACCTCTCCAAAGAGACAGCTAGGTAAATAGCGGTTCTGAATCAAATTCTGTAGCAAAACAATTAATGATAAAATTAAAATAACAATAAAAGATAATAATAAATATTAATCCCAGTTATAAAATACACCATCACAGAACTGATACGACTATGGTACTTTGGCCATGTAAAAGGAATGAAACATACACGAAATCCATAAATCTTCCCCGGATCTTTTGTAAATGCAAGCCGACCAAGAGGTAGACCAGCCAAATGTTTGGAGGACTATGTGATTGCTGACTGTCAAACCAGAGGGCTCATGTCTCCGACAGAAGAATGCAGAGCGTGTCAAGATAGAAAAACGTGGCAAGACATCAAGAAACAGATGCCATCACACAGTAGGACGCTTTTGATTGCACGAAGCAGTAGAATCTGTAACGTAATGATGTCACTAATAATTCATCTGGGCATGCAGGAATGTTAAGTTCTCCTCATCGTGAAGATTGTAGGACGCAATTTTGGCGAATCTACATAGTGCAGATAACATAGGACGGTCACGAATCCGTTTGTCACACAAAGTGAAAGCTCCTTATTAGCTTGTATGGATGGCTTATGCCAAGGTAGGTCAAATATTAATTATATAATAAAAAAACATTAATAGAACAATATTTATGATATCATTTATAATTACTCTTGAAGACAATCAAACTCAACCTAACCTTAAGTAAGAGTCTCTGGGATTGGCTAAGATCTTGTACACTGATGATATCATCACCAATCGATGCTCCCGGTAAACAACAAATGAGCTTCAACTTTTTGTTTATCTGCTCAACTGCTTTTGGTTTGTCTTTCAGTTTTATGTATACCTTCAAAAATAATGTTAAAATAAAAAATAAAAGGTTTTTAAAATTTTTTTTATAAGGTTTACAAACGAAAGTCATAACAAAACAATGATGCATTAGTATTATGTTTTTACATAAAATTATATGTTTAACTTAAGTAATAATCATCTGTTAAATAAAAATATATATATATAAAAAATTGTAAAAATTCATAAATAAATCTATCCTTTCTTTGATAATAAATTCAAGGCATCAAATTACTTTTATACTGTGTAACATAATATATGTACTGTAAATATAAATAAACTCAATTATGAATATTTCTTTGTACTGTACTGTATTACCTATATGGTAGTATACATATTTGACCTTGACGTTGTGTATATTTATGGATAATTAGATCTATTGTTATACTGTAAAACCTCAAATTGAAGACCACTGGGCTTAATCTCAAGATGAATCCCATCTTAAATTGAAGTCCCCCTCTTCAGTTTGCAAAATTAGCCTCGAAAAGAAGCCTGTGGGCTTCTTTTCAAAATAGCATAGGCTTCTTTTCGCGATAGTACAGTACATACACTGTACATGAATTTCAGAAACAAATTAAATACAAGCTTGGTTTATACAGTAGTTTAGGTGATTTAATGCCAGTTAAATACACTCCATGATACAGATTGATGTTACAGTGACCTTATTTATTGTATTATAGTACAAATTCCGAAAATTTACAGCATTCATTTTGAAAAGAAGCCCATCTCAAAAAAAAAAAAACCATCTCGAAAAATAATCCCATCCAAAGTTTGCAAAACAAAGTAGCCCATGGCTTTTAATTTGAGGTTTTACAGTAATTAGTATACATTTAAATAAAACCTAAGTATCAGCATACCTCTTCACAGTATTTAGCCCACTGGAGCGCCCTCTGTAGACCTATGGAGTCCCAGTACTTGACATCAATAGCCCGACTATTCTGAAGTACCTCAATGAACGACTGCGCATTTTTAACAATTTCGTTCATGGCTTTTAGAAATGTCTTTTGCTAGGTTCAAAATCAATGTTTAAAAAAGTAGCTGCAAATATCAAAATAATTTATTACAACTAAAAGCCAAGCTCGGGAGGGGGAAAATGTTGATATGTTTTACAATGAACCAAAAAGGGTGTTTGACAAAAAGTGGTTAATATAGGAATACAGATTTATGAATATTAAAAAACTGGCGGAAAAGGGGTGTAAACTGGCTTCAAAAATAAAATTGGCCAAAATTAAAAATATACTTGTTTAACATCACTGATAATGTACATTGTTAAAAAAAAATACCACCCCTCCCACCTAAACTTTAATTGATATGTGCACACGCTACCCATCTTCGATAAGGTTCGTAACTAATTGTCATTTTCATTTCGTCAGACAAAACAAACAATACAAAAAATATGCACTACTTAATTTAATTGGTCAATAGTTTATTAATTGGCATATTTAAATAAATCGTAATAATAATACAGGGGCCAAGGCTACCTGCATTAGTTAGGCTAGGCTAGGCCCGTTAAATAGTTGGGTACGGTGGGTGGTGGTGCTACGAATTTAGTGAGCCAACCTAGCCTTGCCCTAGTAGTAGCCTACTACTTAGGCCTGTAGATCAACTACAAAAAGAAGCCCTTGGCCTAGGCTTAGAAAGGGGCCGCAAAGTTATGGCCTAGTCTGGCCCGCGGCCCAACAGGCCTAGGTCAAGTTAGAATTCTATGGCTAGACCTAGGCACTGTACGGGGTACTGTCTGTACTAACTACTAGACCTAAATAATTTAAGGCTGGATTATGCTTATTCTATGCGTAAACTTAATTTATGTAACAAAGATAATGAATCCTTGCCTACACATAGAAGCAAAATAATGTAACAACCCTATTTCCATTTCTAATAAAGACTTACACACTCTCTCGCGCGTGTCTGGACACTTTCCGGAAGTTCGAAGACTTGTTTGGAACCTAATAATAAAACCACTTCCTGCCACAGTACCGTTGTTTTTATTTTTATTACAAAAGCCCACTGTGCCAAGTACTCATGTTTCGTCCACAAATTTGAAATGACGTATTTTGGCACTATTCTAAATGGGCTTTCTTAATTTATAGATGTGGATGATATTTAAGTTGTTGTATGAGAGTTCAATTTCGGCCATTTGGAGGTGCAATAATAAACATAATTTTCTTCGGCCACCACCATTGGGGTGGGGGCTGAGGTGGAAGCTCCCCCCCCCCCTTTTGATACGCCACTGGTTCCTCCCCACCACCTTTCCAAGAGCTTCCACTCCCCAACCCCTAAGCCATTTTGGTTCACTTTCTACAAATTCGCACCCACGCAATAAAAATCTTGCGAACGCCTGTCATCATCATCCTCATCATAATAATAACAATGAAGTTCCTAATCTCTGTCACGGCGTTATATTTGTTTTTGATGTTTCTTTTTCAAAGGACAACTAAGAATGAATTTGTTCAACCGTTTATCCATGGAGGAATTAAACTAATTCCATGGAGGAATTTAACTAATTCTTCCATGGTTTATCGATAGTTTATAATGTATGTGTAATGATTTTGTTAAACACTTCTCCCGGAGTTTATATTTTTCGTAGTTCTACTTGTTGAGTAACTTTCTTTTTTTTTTTTGTTTTACTATTTCTTTTTTGTATTTTCTTCTGGCAAAGGCATGTGCAATAATTTTTTATTATCCAAATATTTTTCTATGTTTCTTTGATTATGGGCGGAGGCGGAGGTGGAGGAGAAATTTAGTTCTGCTATCTCACTCACCCTGCCCCTGTGCGCATTCTCAATTTTCGCACGGTGAGCGTTGGGACCATAAAATAATAGTTTTATTTTCGCAAGAGTATGAAGCAGTGGCGGTAACAGAGGGGGAGGGGGCAGGGGACACCTTCTATCTATTTAATAGGCCTAGTTTTCCCATCCCAGCCATATCCGGGCATCCAGAAGTCCCAATTTAAAAAAAATTATATATTCAGTATTAGTAATGCTTGGCCACACAGACTACAGTAGAGAGAGAAGCAAGAAAGGCAAGCTAAAATTCTGACGTCACTACTATCTGTATAGGGGATTCCCCACATTCTCCATTATTCGTACGTATACTGTAGAGGGCGTTATGCATTCTTGTTGACCAGAGCCGTAGGCGAGTTTTTTTTCCGTACGAAACATTTGCATGAAACTTCACTCGGGCCATCTCGGATTGACTCGGGTGAGTACGATACGAGGAACAAGAGCAGACACTTCGCAATGTCGTGACGCTCGATTTTTACTATTATTGCTCTTTCTATGTTTACCTACGGTAGGCCTATGAAATCTCACGGACTTATGTGATGTACGTCACTGTGTAGCTAACTGTGACCTTCCTGGATGTTATTAAATGTTAGTATATTATCTACAACAGCAGCAGCAGCGTAGTACCTCCCGTTATAAAGTGTAGATAGGTAAAGTTATACCAAAGGCTACAGAGGATAAACTATAGGCCTAACTACAGGCTGAGATGAGGTCTTACCTAGGGCCCTCCTTAAACTAGGCCTAGGGTCATAGATAGGCTGACACAACAGCCTAAGCCTTGTATTGAAGAACCTACAGATACTGTACTATTTACTAGGCCTATAAATAATAATCGCCCAAGGGGAATATCTTTTGTTATTTCCCCTTAACGTCGTTTTTTTAAATTGTTCTCTAATTCCTCCATTGTCTAAG